CATAAATTTTTTCACTTTTCTTACCTTTACTCTTAATGTATATCTCATACTACTTCAATGTAAGCGGTCATAAACACCCAGTAATGCTATGCACATCATAAGGCATCCATACTTATCTACCCATACAGAGCAAAAAAAAAATTTGACTTCAAAATTTCCTTGTTATTTTAGCAACCTAAAATCTCCCGTACCCATTTAGTTCATATAATGATTACACTTGCTATTAATGCGAGAGTTACGACCCCTGTTTATCCCGTCCTAACAACTCCTTCTACTAATTGGTTTGGAAGTTCTCCTTTTCTTTTTTGCAAACACTTGGTGAGCAAAATTTCTCTCTACTTTACTCTCCCATATGGGCCATGAACAGATCTGATTTCTAAGATACATAGGGTTTCCACAACCATGATATAAAATCATGGGATGCCATTCCAAACAATGAAAATTATGTCATTGGCTTGCAATATTGTTACCAGAAGGGTTTACGTAGATGCGATTGGTTGTCATTGCTTCGCACTCCATCATCTTTAGCTTCATTGCTCGGTCCTGACCTTCCTCAAGCCTTTATAGATATTAGGCCTCCAAGACTTTCTCCTTCAAGAGGTAGTTCTTCCTTTTCCTAATTAAGTATATTTTGACTGCTTTTCTTCCGTCCCTTGTCTACCACTTTCCTACTCACTGATTGTATTTTGCCTTAGTTCTAAAGTTGTGGATGAATATTGACAACTTTTTAGAGGGAGACTAAAAGAGTTCCTCCTTTGAAGAATTGAAATGAATAGTCATAGTGAGTCAATTTGGGCAGGATTTTGTGGAATAGAGTTTCAATGGTTGGTAACAGAGGCGTCAGGCTCACACATGCTTTTTAGTAATTTTTTCCCTGCTCACTAATCAAAACGACTCTGTTTTGAACCTTGTCAACGTGGATTGATAATGGCCACTTCTTCAGTTTTGTGAGGGGAGCGTTCAGGGACGGTCTTTCTGATGACCGTCCCTGCCCCAAATCCGTTGGTTGCTCATGCTACAAGTCTACGACATAACAAAGCTATCAAGGAAAGATTTCCAAGTCCATCCTAGTCTTCCTATTTATTCATTTTTTTAAAAAAAAATTATTAACCATACTTTGTACATGATTTTCACTTGATATGCGTGAAAATTCACAAATGTGTTCTTGGATGCAATGTATGTCATGAAAGTAATTAAGATATATGTTTGTAATGCACATCTTCTAATATTTAGTTTGTGGAAACCAATATTTTAGTGATTATGTGTCAGTGTATTTCTCTCTAAAATTCATTCTCTCTTTCTTCTCTTTAAGGCTCTCTAACAAAAATGGCCTTCAGATCTGATCTTTCTCCATAGGAGGGAACTTTTTTTTATACCTTTTATTTGCTTTTTTAAAATAAATTCCCTCTAGCGAGGAATTTTCTTTGGTAAGTATTTCTTCTCTCCTAATTTTTTCTAGTGAAAATTTTATTCTATCCTAGGATTTCCTTTGTAAGAAATTTTTCCATTTTTTTCTCTTTTTTTGCTATGAGATTTGAGATTTCAGATGGTTTCCTAGATTTGAAAATTTTCACATCTACCATGTTAGCTGAATTTCTCCTTGGGCTTCAATCATTTTTTAACAAATGTTATTTTTAAAAACATGCACAAATCTTTTGAGTTATAGTGATTCACCTGGATGCATGGAAGATGTTTTGGAGATTTAATGTTTTTCATATTCATTAATATCTATTTGCTCAATAGATAGATTGAGATTACATATTATTTACTAGTTTTGGAATTTCTCACATCTCCTATGACAACTAAATTTCTCTTTGAGTTTTAAGCATTTTTATTAGATGATTGTTAGAAAATATGCACAAACTGACAAATCTTGGAGGGCCAGAAGACCATTAGAAATTATTCATTCAGATTTATGTAAGCATTTCTCTTGAGCGGTCCTTGGAGAATCATGTTCATATCAGATATCAAACTGACAAATCATGGAGGGCCAGAAGACCATTAGAAATTATTCATTCAGATTTATGTACTGTGGAGATTCCTTCTAATGGTGGTTGTAGGTATTTTATTACCTTTATTGATGCTTTTAGTAGAAAAGCTTGGTTGTATTTTTTGAAACAAAAATCTAATGCCTGTGACACTTTTAAAATTTTAAAAACTTTCGTTGAAAGGCAAAGTGGGTGTCAGATTAAAATTTTGAGAACAGATAGGGGTCAGGAATATTTGGTATGTAATGATTTTTTTTTGAGGAAAATGGGATAAAGCATCAATTGACTACCAGGTACACTCCCCAATAAAATGGGGTGACAGAGATAAAGAATATGACAGTTATGGATATGGTGAGGTGTATGTTGAAACTGACAAATATGCCAAAGTTTTTTTTAGGCAAAAACAGTTTCTTGTGCAATTTATCTGTTAAACAGGTGTCCTACCAGAAGTATTTTCAAAAAAACTCTTGAAGAAATTTGGAGTGGTAGAAGGCCATTTGTTGGTCATTTCAGAGTTTTTGGGTGTATTGCCTATTTCCATATTCCTGATCAATTAAGAAAGAAACTTGATGACAAGAGGGAGAAGTGTGTATTTTTTGGTTATAGTGAAGTCTCCTGTACTTACATGTTGTATATTCTTGTGACAAAAAAGGTGATATAATGAGTAGAGATGTGGTGATATAATGAGTAGAGATGTGACTTTTGATGAAAGAGGAGTTTGGGACTTGTCAACTGGAGATTCTAAGACAGCAGAGGTGACTCTAAATTATCAGCAAGAGGATGCTAATGATGATGTTCAGCTATCACTAGTTGATCAAGATCCATAGACTGAGTTAACTGGATGTCCACAACGTCAGCGACAGATGCCAATTCGTCTACAAGATTATGTTACTACACTAGATGATGTTCCTTCTGACGAAAATATTATTAATTTTGCTTTGTTTGTAGATTGTGATCTAGTTGTGTATGAGGAGGCAGCCAGTGATGATCATTGGGTGAAAGCAATAGAGGAAGAAATTAATACAATAGAGAAACATGACACCTGGGAACTTACTTTTCTTTTAATTGGTAAAAAAGTCATTGGAGTGAAGTGAGTGTACAAAAAAAAATTCAAACCCAATGGAGAAATTGATAGATACAAGGCGAGATTAGTGGTGAAAAGATACAAGTAGAAATCCGGGATTGACTATTTTGAAATATTTGCACCCGTTACTAGGTTTGATACAGTCTGTATGATAATTTCTCTAACAGCCCAAAATAACTGGAGAATTTATCAAATGGATGTCAAGTCAACTTTCCTAAATGGAGTTCTTAATGAAGAAGTACATGTGGAGTAGCCAGCAGGATTTGTCAGAAAAGATCAAGAAAATAAGGTATATAGATTGAAGAGAGCCTTATATGGATTGAAATAAACCCCAAGAGCGTGGTATACAAGAATTGATTCCTATTTTCTGACTCGTGATTTTCAGAGGTGTCCATATGAGCACATGTTATATATTAAATCTTATGCTCGTGGTGATATTCTTATTGTGTGCTTGTACATAGATGATTTAATTTTTACAAGAAATAATCCAGAGATGATTGCAGAATTTAGGGTGGCCATGATTAAATAGTTTGAGATGATAGATATGAGACTCATGTCATGTTTTTTTGGAATTGAAATCTTTCAATCTAATAGTGGAACTTTTATATCTCAAAAGAAATACGCAGGTGACATTTTAAAGAAGTTAAAAACGGATACAGCAAAACCAATTATGACACCAGTTGAAGAAAAATTGAGATTGACCAAGGAGGGTGCTGGTGGATATGTGAATCCCACATATTTTAAAAGTTTGGTAGGGAGTTGGAAATATTTAACATTTACAATGCCAGATATCAATTTTGCTATTGGTCTGATTAGTAGGTTCATAAAAAATTTACATTAGTCACATTTGCAGGCAGTTAAGAGGATTTTGAGATATATTGGAGGTGCTTGCAGTGATAGCATTTTTTATTTAGGAAATGATGCAATTGAGTTGTTTGGCTACACAGATAGTGATTGGGGAGGTGATACAGTAGAGAGAAAGAGTACTTCAGGTTATGTATTTTTTATTGGTTCCGGAGTGTTTTTTTGGAGTTCGAAAAAATAACAGGTGATTGCATTGTCTACAGTGGAAGCGGAGTATATTGCAGCAGCTAACCGTGTTATTCAAGTTTTGTGCTTACGTCGCGTACTTTGTATTCTACAGCACAAGCAGGTTGATCCTACGAAAATTTATTGTCATAGTAAGTCAACAATTGAGTTGTTCAAGAATCCAGTACTTCATGGGCGTAGCAAACATATTGACATCAAATATCACTTCATATGTGAGTTAGTTCGAGAGAGAGAGATTGAAATTGATTATTGCAGAACTGAAGAACAAGTGGCTGACATTTTCACCAAAGCATTGAAGACGGAGATTTTTATCAACTTGAAGAAGTTGTTGGGCATGTCCAAATTAGAGGAGTTTGGTTTAAGGGAGTCAATGTAGAAATATAAACCAAACTATGATTGATTGGTTAGTTTTATTTATTGACCGCATGTCATTTGTTTATTAGCTAGTTTTCTTGGCAAGTCTAAAGTTGGCTACATGGGATCAAATCCCATAATGTTAGTCATAGTAGAATTAGAAGTCTTGTGTCTAGCTATTGTACAAAGTAGCAGTTGCCTTTTGTTTTTGGTCTTTGTGCATAGCCTCTGTGTTTTTCGTTCTTCTGTAGCCGCAGCCTTCTTTGAGTAATAGAAAAAAATTTCTTTCCTTTACCTCATATATCAAATTCTTGAGATTGTTCCTGTGGGTTTATGTGTGATTATCAATTTGGATCCATCAATATAGCTCAATGGAGTAAGATGAGATATCAGAAAAGTTTGGTGATTAATCGTACACAATACCTTTTTCAAAGAACTTGGTTAAAGAAAATTAAAAACATACTAATATGTTGTTGTGAGGTTGACAATCAAAATATAATTGCGACCTTTAGCGTTAAAAAGATGTTAACATATCGTGATAACATAATCACTAGTAATATAAAAAACACAAGTAAGGATGACGTAAAAATGCAATCCAGTCCTTCCCATGACCGCGGGATCAAATGATCATCTCCCATGGGCAATTGGCTGTATTTCTTGATTTTGGAGGCTATAATATGTAGTTGTCAACATAATATCACCGCCACCGGAGGGATTGGATTGTTCTTGATGATCAATCAGGGGCTCAATCTCTTCTTGGTTTAAAGCTTGAGAACCTTGAGTCCAAGTATGCTTTGATGTGATTCGCAACCCTACCAGTTCCATTGCTACTTCTTTCATGGAAGGCCTGTCGGCGCCTTTTACAGTTAGGCATCGTTCGGCAAGTACAGCAACTTGTCTCAATTGGTCAATATTCTCATCAGACGCGACAGAATCTTCAAGAATTTGAAACAGTCGATTTTCTTTCATCGAAGAAAGGAAATGATTGCTTAAACTTATCTCACCCTCTGATCTATTGAAGCATACGGGCTTTTTCCCTGTTAGTAGCTCCACAAGAACGACTCCAAAGCTATAAACATCTCTTTTCTCTGTCAACTGAAATGTTTGGAAGAATTCAGGGTCCAGATATCCACGAGTTCCTTGCACCACTGTAGATAGTTGATCTTGATCAAGAAGGCCCATTCTTGAAGCACCGAAATCGGATACTTTTGCTGTAAATTCCTCGTCCAGAAGTATGTTCGTGGTCTTTATGTCCCTATGGATGATTGGAGGTGAAGCAGCGGAGTGCAAATATGAGAGGGCTTCTGCAGTTTCTGCACCTATTTTCAGTCGGATGTCCCAACTAATTTCACGTGCCCGCTTCTTGTTGTGTAAATGGTTAAAAAGAGTGTCATTGTTGATAAATTCATAAACGAGTAAAGGTACCTCTGTCTCGAGACAACAACCAAAGAGCTTAACCACATTTTTGTGGTTAATTTGTGACAGAATCACAACCTCATTAATGAATTGCTCAATTTGGTTGGGATCAACTGTTTTTGACTTCTTGATAGCAATTTCTTTGTTGTCTATTAGACGACCTTTGTAGACTATCCCAAAACCTCCTTGACCAATAATGTTACCTTCATGGAAGTTGTTTGTTACCTTCTCAAGATCTCTGGCACTGAAAATTCTTGGGCTATTTGAGGATTCTTCTTGTCCATTGAGTCGCATTTGTAGGAGTAGCCCTCCATTTTCTCGAAAGAATTTTTCCTTCAACCACATCATCTTTCTTTTCTTGGACACGTACAAGCACCAAGAACAGACCACTAGCAGAACCATAGTGCCCACAGCAACACCTAAGACAGTGTTTTTTTTTACAATATTTAGAGGAAGAAAAATCCCAGAAAAGGAAGGAACGAGAAGGAACATGTTAAACTGCGCAGGGGTAAAGCAATATCAACTTCGAAGTATAATACAAGTGATTATTATCAAGTTTATATGAGTGAAATTGTCGATTATATTTCTCAACAAGATTTAAGCTAGAGTTTGTCCCTGAGTTTATTGCTTCGGCAATAATAGAATGCTTCTCTATATGTGATGCTTTTAACTGATAGGCAATGTGAGAAAATGTCTACCCTAGAAATTTTTTTTTTCTTTTCACTTTAATGGAGACTTCAAACCGTACAATAAGGGAGCAAAAAAAAAAAAAGAAATGATTTTGAATTCGAATAAAAAAGATAACGTCAATTGATTAATGTGGCTAATTATCGAATTGGTCTTGTGCTTCACACTCTTAACTCTCTTTTAGTTTACATATATGTTGACTTTGGTTTGGCTAAATTCGAGGTCAAAAGTAAACCTGATTAAGAGGTGGTCGAGCTTTGGGTTGACAATGACTCAGCTAGGTAGTTTTGCCTCGGTCTACTCTTAGCCCTTTTCAGGTTGCTCTCAATTATCCTTACCTTGTGTATTTCTCCAAAAACATGAAGCTACTACGTGTAGGTTGTGATAATAGGTACTACCCATTTTCCATGTCACCAAAACATATTGATTTATTATTTAAGATAAAAATTGAAACAATGTGTAAGCAATAGGCTTGTCTAGATGCTAATTTTTTGTAAAAATTATTTTGCACGTATCATAAATACGTTTCCTGATTATTTTTTTTATTTTTAATTATATTTTTATTTTACATACATCACTTCACGTCACAAGTAATACTATAATGTTTATGTCACTTCAATGAAGGAGGATAACAACCTGGAGTGCCGCATTTGAGTCTCTGTGTTTTCATGATATGAGCATCAAAGCGCCAAACTTAGTCAATATCCCTACTTGGAATTTCAACCATTAATCTTGGCTTTCTAACAATAATTCCTTAAGAAATGCAAAAAATTTAAAAAGTGGAGTTTAGGTTGATCGTATGTGTATGTGTCTTTATAAACAGAACAAAATGCAAATTAAGCTGATCTGAGAACAATAATTTGCTTTTTGACCAAGCTTGGTCTTTGTGCCTATCTGTATAATACTTGGGAACTTCGGTACCACAAAAGACAAACTATTACCTGCAAGAATACCAGCCACAAGTGCTTGATGGCTTTTCTTAGTGCAACCTTCACTCCCTTTTCCATCATCTTTCTTAAGGTACCCCTTCGGGCAAGAGCAATTGTAGCCTCCTTCGACGTTTATGCAAAGTTCTCCGAATTTGCAATTATTGGTCTCTTCTTTTTGACATTCATCAATATCTGCATAATGTTACCCCCCAAAAAAAAATCATGTTGGATCTATCAAGGATTTGTTCAAGTAAAAATCATTTTTCAAAAGTACACCAAACCGTGTTTGTTTGGATTGAAAGTTCTTTGGGAAAAAATTTATTTGAGACAAGGACATGTGTAGTTGTCCACTGTGTTGTAACAAACATTATTCTTCGCACAATTGTAAAGACTTGGATCTTGGCATTCATTAATAGCTATAGAATTCAATAAAAAAATAGAAAGCAAAAACATAATTTCAAATGTGAATTGAAACACACATGCATATATGGATTAATTAGATAAATGAAACAATTTTTTTCCACACATACCTTGGCAGCCATCAGGAAGATATGGGTTGCCTTCGTATCCTTGATTGCAAGAACAACGGTATCCCAATCCCTTGAAAGGTTCCTAACAGTGACTGTTTTTCCAGAGCATGCATAAGAGGTCGTGTTTCTTTGAGCAACTTCACATGACACGTCCTCAATGGTCCAATCGGCCACGACGGGAAGACTTAAATCATCGCTTAAGTTGGTGAGGTTATCTGCAGAAAAATTGAAAGCCTTCTCTTCGACCACAAAAGCGTAGCTGCAAGGATTGAAATCCCACACGTCGGTGTCGTTATTAAGACTGGTCAAGTTCACAGTAATATTCCATGCCCCTGGTGGGATATCTGTCCGACAGCAACCGATGCCAGAACAAGAGCCATCAATTACATCTTCCTTATAATCACAGGAAGGGACACATCCAGTTGCGTAGCTCCGGTGTTGACCAAAACCATAAACTATACCGTAGGCATCACAGCCAACGACAATGAATTTATTAGCTGTACTGTTGAAGGTAAAGCGTTTAGATAATCTCATCCATGGTGAATTGTTGGAAAATAAACTTCCGTTTTCATTATAGCAATCAATTGCTATATACTGCATAAGGTACACCTGACCTTCCAGAGATATTTCTGTGACATTGATTGTACCGTTTTGCAGAAGTGGTCGAGGGACAGAGGTTGAAGGGTTGGTGCAGTTGATAAAAAAATGTTTGTTAAGGTAACAATCTTCTGTAATACCGAATGGAAATGGAATGCTTACATTGCCACAATGATCTTTGCAGCCGGGCATCGCTATAGGAAATGTTGGGGGTGACAAAGTTGAAGCGGAAGAAAGCATTAAGGCAATTACCAAATGCAAGAGCATCGGTAAAATGAACCGATTGAAGCCCATTGGAATTGTTTTTCAAAGACGCAAGTTTCCTTTCCAGAAGAGAGTTGCAATTGTTAATTGTGCACTTCTAAGGACTTTAAACTTACGATAGGGAAGACTTAGTTAGTAAACGCACAGAAGGCCTCTGCAGTCAAGATATAAAGGAGTATTTGTTGGGCAATAATTTTGTGCTTGATTTGTGTATTTGTTGGGCAATAATCTTCTGGGAAGCTGTCACACTAGTCTGTGACAACCATGAGGTCCACGTCTTTGCGGGGTTGCTTATGCTAACGACATAAAGACTCTGTCAGGGAAGACTTTCAAGTCCACCCTGCTCTTTCCATAAAGACTCTGTAAGGGATCTCATTCAGTATTCGAATGGTTCTGGGGTCGGATCCACGAATTTTCATAATTATATTGTGGCAACATTTTATTTTTTTTTTTGTGAAATGGTGTCTTAACATCTGAGAAAATATATTTATTTGTGCCTATTGAATAGACACGTCTACCATAAAATAATAAAATCTCTAATAATCAAACTAAGCATGCATTTAGTCGAATCCTGATTTTGCTGTCAAAGTTTCTAATCCTTTTATCGCTACATTATTTTAACGAAGCAAAAATAAACTTAACTGTATGAAACACAATAAGAAAGCGCATATTCATTACTAAATCAACATATGCATTAGTTATTTATTAAAACGACTGTTCATTCCTATGTCTTCCCATTCTTACAATCTCAGGTGCAAAACTTATAGTTTGATTATTCTCTCTAATCTCAAACTTTGAAAAGCAATCATACCTCGAAATATAAATGCAAAATACTCATTTAATATTGCTAATTATATGTATACACTCATTTTATATGTTTAAGAAGAGAACTTTTCAAAATATACAAACTTGATTATTAGTTTCAAAGTCACATGCAAAAGATCAAATGCAAGCAAGAAGAGGTACTTAAATTTAAAATTTGGCAAATTAAAACATGAAATAATTAATTAAAGTTGTACGCGCTTTAGTTTTGAACAATTTTTTCTTGACATAATAGACATGGTTTTAACAAGTCAGCATGTAATACTAATTAATAACAAGTTGAACTTCATACAGTAATTAACGTAATAGCCAAGTAAAAAAAAAATTAAAGAGTAAAGAAGCAAAAGTTAAAGGGAGAGGGCAATGAAATTTTATTCAAATTTAAGGGAGGGAGGGGGGGGCACAAGAAAAAGATTTTCAATGAAATTTTCCAAAATTTCTTTGGGGCTAAAAGAAACTTCTAAAATTTTTTTCTTTTTTCTTATGATGAAGGTCAATTAAGACCGCCACAGAATGTGGCAAATTTTTTTGTGGGAGGTAGGGTTCGAACCCATAACCTCTTTGCATCACCAAACCTTAGAAGGCTTGGGATGACCACTGGACCAAAGGCCCAATGGCGCTGCAAAGTGTAATTGGTCCTATGAGAAATTGCCAATGGAAAAGTTGGTCTTTTCCTACCTTTAAAGTTCCCGGGATAATTTCACTTTGTCTCCTCAAATTACACACAAAATTCCACTTCAATTCCTGAACTTCAAAATAGAACATTTAAATCCCTAAACTAAAAATTTTGTCCTGCTTAAATGAAATCCATGACATAATCCAAAAAATTGATGGTGTCTTAAGGGCGTGGAGACACGCTCCATTAGTATGTATGTGTAATTGTTATAAACCAGAAAAGTAGGGATATAAATGAAAATTTACCCCATTTTCTCCCTTCCTTTTTTCATTTTTTATTTTTCCTATTCTTCTTTTTCTGTCATCTGCCACCACTGATATCTCCAATCCTCTTGCCACCATTATCGGGAATTCTCCAATGGACAAAGTTTGCCTTTTCACAAGAGGAAATAAAGGAATAAATCTTGACTCATCGTAGTAATTTCGTCTGCTTGGAAATATCTGATTATCCAATTTCTGTGGTTCTCTTTTCCTCTATTTCTTCCCTGTAGTTTTAATGCTAATTTTCAATCGAGAAAACCTGAAACTAACAATAACCCAGATGCAAAACAAATCTAGAAAAGCCAAAAAATCCTAATGTCAATTGACCATCTAAAAATCAAAATTTATAATAAACCCTAGATCTAGAAAGCAGTCAAAAAGATGACAGTGCAAGGAAAACTACTTGCATAGGTAGCAGTAGTGTACAGTGTACTCTTTCCTGACAACAACCACACAACTAAGAAGATCTCTATGAAATTGAAGGCATCTTGGATGATACATGAAGTGCTAAACATTTTACTCTCTACCCATCTAGAGCAAGAGCAAACGAGCTCTTGTTCATCTTTAAGGACCATAAAATAGAAGAAAAAATAGTGGAATACATTAAGTGCTTACTCAGATACACATCTCTCAAATAACTTCCTTTT